CATATTTCTGATAAAATTTACAACAATCACAGAATTGAAAAAGCTGTAGTTCCTGATTCAAATTACACAGGTGTGGAAGAAGAATGCATTCCAGGTAATAGGGAGGACAGCCATGTACTGCCATCCCAATACGTGCTGCAGAAGTCCCACCTACTCTGCTTCCATAAGCAGAGCACTCCACAGGGAAACACAACTTTGAGACATGTCTGAGAGAGAATATTAGCATATCAGTGCATCCAAAACTATTCTAGACTGTGTGAGAAACCAGAGTTGTGCTATTTTTGTTTATATGAATTATTTGTGTGCACAGTGTCTGCTTGCTTTTTTAGGCAAACAACAGAGGGCACTCCCTCAGGCATCTGTCTTACAAGTCAAAAGGCAGAAAACCAGACCACAACAACAAGGGAGATCCCAGGCATGCAAAGCAAAGGAGACAGAAAACAATAAGAGAAGAGCAAACACTTCTCTGGGAAGAGTAAACTTCGACAAAATCTGACTGTATCTGACATTTAGCAGGAGAAAAAAAATATTGTTGGACTACAAACCCCATGCTGCTTATTTTTGAAAGCAGAAAGATCACAGCCACTGGCAATGAATTCACTAGGAATTACAAACATGATGCTGTGAAAAAGCAGACAGCTGTTCAAACAGACTTTCTGGAAAGCCTAGTTCTAATTTTTTTTACTTAAAACATGCTTTTGAGAAAGGAACTGAAAGTCATCCAGGCAAGCATGATCATTATTTCTGTCCATTTTTACTTTGAGTCTTACACAATTTGTTACAACCCAAAGGCTTTTTTTGTTTGTGAAAATCCATTTCAAAAGCACTTAACCCCAGCAAGTACCTACATTCCTGTACTGGAGCTTACCTGAATTGCTAAAAGCAACCCACAGGGATAATGACTTTTTAAACTACCCAATCTTTACCTCAGGTTTTCAAGCAACTGCTTGCATTTTCAGTACCACAAAAAAAACCAAGGGAAGCCAAACATATCTATTAATATATAGCTATATTTATCTTTTAATTTCCAGGCTGCATCAGCCACCCATCTGGCAGTCTTTTTCATCACACCCTGGAATCAGCTTCTGTTTGGCAGAAGCTTGTGTTCTGCTGCAAGCCTTTGCATATCTGTGTGTTTGAGTAGTTCAGTGAACCTGAGCAGCCCTGCCATCTACACCTGGGAGAACAGCAAAATGTAGGAAAGGGATGTACAATCTGCAACACTAGAGGTTAATGCAGGGCTGAAGTTATAAAGAGCTTCCACAGGAAACAGTATTTTCTTACATGTTTCTTCAGAGTAAATGACCAGGAAAAGACTTTGGCAGCTAAGGTTTTTCTCTGTAAATGATAACATTTGTTCTTAAATGCCTCAGTGTTAGAAAAGAAAGGAAATCACAATCTAAGAGGTTCTGGGTTACTGGGAAGGTGCCTTTGTCCAAGCCACTCCCTGAAGAATATCCAGGTATGACTTGGGTAACTTCACTCAGTAAAGAAAAAAGGTTCTCTTTATTAATCTGCTTTAGTATAAACATTCCTTTCAAATCAGTTTCCAAAAGCATATTTGGTTGTTTTCCTTTGCAAAATATTTTACATTCCAGCCATGAAGCTTGTTGGCCCATCTTAAACAGTATACCACTCAATAATGATAATATTTTCTACACATGGCACCTGCATCTCAGATAACCCTGTGTATTTCAAATGCCTGTTTAGTTTTCAAAAGCAAATCTCTGTCTAACTTGCATCTGTCAATAGTGAAGGGCTGCTTCCTTCCCTGGGGACTCCATTTTTTTTTTTGCATTTGCACAAACCTGTGAGTAACACTCTTCAAACAGTAACATTTATTTTTAAAAAATATTAAAGTCTTCTTATGCATCTTCATGGTCTGGTAAAGAGTGTAGCTTGGGAATGAAAGTGGGTGGTTGGATTTCTGAATTGGGCCATTTGCGCTTTCTTTACAAACGTTTTAATTCAGCATGTCTCTAAATAATTTGGTAGTCAAATACTGACAGGTTCATTCCTTATTTTTTATTCTCTGCTCTGGAATTATTAATAAATGGCACCTTTACAAGCCATTCACTTTCCACCAAAAGTAAGCTTTATTGAAAAATAAGTCAGGAAAAAAGAAATTCTGCTGTATTCATTGATTTACTAGCATAGTCTGAATGCCTTTGAACTGCTCCTGAGAGTGTCATATATACCTCCCTTAGATAATTTCTTATACTAGGTTTTATTTGGTTTTGAAACACAAGCCTAACTTTAAGTGCTATGGGAATCTGGAGACATCTCTAATCTCATCACTGCCTAGTATTCACTATGAAACATGCCTTTACATTTTTTTATCCAGTAAACACACAAGCAGAAATGCACTCCTCAGAATAGCAATTTAAGAGAAACATCCCTCCCCCCAAAACTAAGAAACATGACAGTGAGAGAGAAAAACCAGAAACGAGATCAGCTTCTCTTTGAAGGTCGGTACCTTTTCCTGGACAAAGCTGGCGTACCCCAAGGAGAGGGGAGAGAAGTCTCATTTGTCAGGCAAGGAGGGATCTGTTCTGCATGACTACAGACAAAACAGACAGGGGTAGGACAGAGAGGTTAGAGAAGAAACCAGAGGCCATAAGCTTGTTAGTTTTACAAAAGCAGCAATAAAATTGTTACTTGGATCCATCCTTTAGAAAGAACACAGATGCCAAAGGACAAACTGAACAACAGCCTCAGGTGAACACAGACATGCAAAGTGTGCACAGGTCTTGTGGTGTGAATCTGCACTGCTTGTTCATTGCTCTGCTGAGAGTTACTGATAACAGCAAAGCAGAACATCTTTCAGTGTTCGACAGCAGACATTCAGAGGAGAAAAGTAAAGCTTCAGTAAATTAGATATAACCAACAGGAGTAAGAAATAAAGTCAATGTAAATTCAATAATGAATGATGAACAGAAAATTTAAAGAAGAAAAAAAAATCACTGAAAATAACAGCTAAAAAAAAAGGGAATTTAGTGGGGTATCTTACGCAACATCACCATGTGATTTACTTACCCCATTGTTTCCTCATTCTCTATTGTTAGCCATTGTCAACTTCTACAGTACAAGTAACACACTCTAAATACAAATTGTCCTCCTGCTTTAATAATGCTTCAAAATAAGATCAAATAAACTGATTTCTGAAGTTGGCTTTTTGGTGAGTGTGTCAGAGTGTGAGTGTGTGTGTGAGTTAGAGTGTTTTTTTTGTTGGTTTGTTAGTTGTTAAAATTTTATTTAAAGAAGAGAAAAGCATTAAGATCTCCTGCTTTGGGGGCAAGACAGCCCATGTTATTAAAACAGGGTCACATACATTCAAAGCAAAGGCTAGGGTATAAATAGCTTAAAGGTCCTAGATACAAAGTTTAGGTCTGTGTTTCATGTTTTGTACTTTAAACTGTGGCAAAAACTACTTTAAGACCAGCCAATCTTCAATACATACTTCACAAAGTTTTGTTGTCATTTTGAACCTTTAAAACACATTTCTGTTCATTTTCAGTCTCATTATGATTTAAATTCAAGTTGTTTCACTGTAGGAGCGTCTCCCAGTTAATTTTAAAATACCAATAATTTACAGACTACCTAGAACTTTAAAGAATAAGCAAATCCATGTAAAATAAGATGTCCATTTTATGTGCTAGCAAGGAGAAAAAGAGGCACAGGGAAGGTCTTATCTTAGTCTCTAACACTACTTGAGAGATGGTCATAGCAGTAGTGTCCATCTCTTCTCCCAAGTAATAGTCAAAAGACAAGAGGAAATGGCCTCAAGTTGAACCACGGGAAGTTTAGATTTGATATTTGGAAAAAAATTTTCACCAAAAGGGTTATCAAGCATTGGAACAGGCTGCCCTCAGATGGAGCTGAATTATCATCCCTAGGGGTCTTTAAAAGATGTGGAGATGTGACACTGAAGGACATGGTTTAGTGGTTGATTTAGTAGTGTCAAATTTACAGTTAGATCTGATCCTTAAGAGTATTTTCCAGCCTAAATGATCCTATGTTTCTACATTAATCATGGTATTATTTAATCATTTACTTTAAAGCTCCATATCAAATGAAATATGAAGTTAAAGTATGACATCCAACACCCAAATTTTCATTTCACTTAATAAAAGCACAGAAATACAGTATTTCTAATGATGATAATGCAACCTGTCAGCCTAGCAACCAACAGGTTGCTTCAACACATCAAATATAACCATGAACTGATATCTCTATATTAACTGCTGCCACAATAAAAACATCCAGCATCAGAGAGAACGCCGGACATCCTGGAGAACACCAGCAAGCTAAGTCATTATTTGGTCAGATGTTGACACCTTCTCCTCCTCTCAGTGGAGTGAAGGAAGAAAGAAGTAGATTAAAATGGAAATACAAAAACTTGCAATGAAGGTATCTGAAGAGAATTATTTCAGGGAACACTGGCATAGGGCAGGTAGAGAAGATGAAAAAAAAAAAAAAAGCAAAGGTCATACCTGTCAAAAGAATCTGTTGCTACCTTGTAGAGGTAAATAAAAAGTTTGCTGCAGTGCCTTAGAGTGGGTGACACAGAATCCAGGGATATTAGGTCATCGTCCAAAAGTCTTTGAAACAGTTGTGTATTTGAAGGGAAGACATTCAAGGGACTTATTTTCCTCAAGTCTGAGAAGCAGCCAAGTAATCGAACAGCATCTGCCAGTTTTTCATACTGGATCTCTGTCTTGAAGAAGTGAGAGTTGGCTGGCTCATAGCGCATTGCTGCAGTCAATGTGCAGAACACAGTGTGAAGCAGTTCAAACACTTGGTTCTGGTTTACTTTTTCCCAGCCATTCTTAGGTGGTGAGCACAAAGATCTTTCCATGGCAACAAGTAAAGATGTGACATATACAAATCCACCAACTTTCCTGAAAACAGTTCTTGTGCGGTGACTCTCTCTAAGTACCAAGAGTAGGGCCTGTGGACAAAACAAACAATCAAAACAGGGAAACGACAGCAACAACAAGCAGCAGCATTACAAACAGCCTGGAAAAAGGTAGAAACATTTTTGTTCACAAAACACTGTTGTACTAGCAAAATCCTTGTGTCATTTGTCAGAACCTGGTAATGCCTGAAGTCTCTAAAGATCAACTTTGTACTACAAAAATTCTCATACTCAAAAGTTTACAAAATAATAAAAAAAAAAAGAGTAGGGGGGAAAGTAGAACATTGCCTCTTATTTAGAAATAAGAAATTACCTTCCAACAGAAAAGACCTGACCAAGCCCAGAATGTAACCCAGAATTGTAAAGTAATTCTCTTAGTGACAAGATGGAGAATATCTGTTAGAAAGATATCTTCTCTGCCATCACACATCACAAACAATCTCAAACAAGAGCAGGCAAATAACTTCTTGCAGCAATGAAAAATGTAAACCTTGGAGCATCCTAACAGTCTCCTAGAAATCAACAATGCGGAATCACCTGGCAACTATGAAACCATAATGACATTCAAATATAACAACTCAGTTAGCAAATTCAGGCAGTAAAAATTAGCCAAATATGCCCACTTATTTTTCGCTTTCCTATATAAATCTCTAAATTGAAACTATGACTATATTTTAAGAGTTTCTTCTCACAAGTAAGCCATAGAGAGAAACGAAAGTGGATAAAACCTTACTTGCTGAACAAATAAATGCAAAGCCATGGTATAAACAGCAGAAAATGCATGAACTTAAGTACTAGAGAATAATACTCATTATCTGTGAAATCAGGGGTTGGAGAAGCCCCTCCACATTGTTACAAACAAATAAAAAGGATACCTGCCATGGGAAGTTTGACCCACGTGTGAATATAGAATGTAGAAGAAAAAGTCTCCCTACAGAAAGCATCATAAACAACAGAAAAATGTTAATGATACAGAAAATAGGCCAGGGGGAATTTTCCATGACCGAAAGTTTACTTCTTCAGAATCAAGCTGCTTTTTTAAGCACTCAGAAGACGGGTAGTGAAATAGCAAGACTGTCATTCCTCTGAAGGCACTATCTCCTTTCCTGACAAACTTGAACAAACAGTAAGAGACACATCACCACACTGTTCTGGGCTGTCAGTTCCATAACCAAAACTTCTGAGAACAGCACCAATGGAGGACAAGTACAATAGGTCAAAGGAAAGACAGAAATACTGATTTTCTGTTAAACCCTCTGGGAAACTCCAATATCTTTTCTTTCCCCATAAGTATGGTGAATAACACATATTTGAATAACAAAAATTGGTGAAGAACTTCATAGACATTACACAGTAAATAAACAGTTTTATTACCCAGCTTTCCTTTCATATGAAGGAAATATGAATAATACGAAGCTGTTCATCTGCCAGAGAAGTAATACGGGCTCCTTTGAACAGAAATTAACCTAGATGTCCGAGTTCTCTTCATTAAGACTCATTTACTTTCTACTATTTGCCTGAACTTTTCTACCCTAAAATAAATCAGTATTTTGTCAATTTAAAAAATAATATTAGCTACTCTTAGGAGAAATTGTGGGTCCAGATTAGCAAATGAAACACCTAATACAGCAGGAAACAGACAAGAGTTTTCTTGCTTCTTCCTCCACTCCCAGCCTTACTTTCTTACTATTCCACTATTTTGCTTAAGCAAGAAAGTTCTTCAGCTTTATCTTCTATTGTGATCATTACAATTTGCATTTATATTAATTATTTCAGCATTCATAGATACAAATTGGTAAAATAAGATGCCACATGAAAATGCAAGCCAGAGCTGAAAATAAATGCATGCTATTTGCCTACTATTTTTCTATACATATTCCCATTATTTTTAACTGAATAAGACCCCACCAGGGAAAATTATCATAACTGCAGAACCTCATTTTCTATCCAAAAACGTGGTGACGCTAAAAACATATTCACTAGATTACATCTCCAGTTCTGAAGCCTACCATGGACAAATGGTAAAAAAAACCCCAAAAAACCATGGATCAAAATATATGTATTTCAACTCCAGAGACAATCTACATACTACCTAAACACCACCCATCCAATCCAGCTCAATCCAATGTCCTTCTCAGTGTTTTCCCTTTTGGAACCACACCTTAGGAGCAAGAGTACTGAAGAACATTTCACCTACCCTTAGGATGTCAGTTTTGAGTTGTAGCTCTGTAGGTGGGGCTGAGTGCATCAGCCCCAGCAGGGTGCCCATGTCATCCTCTCCACTGGGTGACAATACCAGCTGCTGGATGATCATCAGGGCGTGCTGGCGGCACTGCGGATACTTCACAATATTGTGCACGCACCTGGCACCACCAAACTCCCTGAAAATGCCTGCTCGGAAAGAGGGTGGCAGGGTAAGCGCATTAAGAGTAAGCAAAATATCACCAGTGGCAAATAATGACAACAAAACAACATCAAAGGTGTTAATTTTCATTTTACATTTCTACAGAATGAAGGGCAGAGTTTTATCTCTATGGATGTGCAATGATTTTCTATTATTTTTCCTCCCCTAACACAAATAAAAATAGAACTTCAGTGTCTTCTGACAAAATTTTTCACTAAAGGCATTGTGTACATGGATTGAGGTCAGCTCTAAGAATTTCCTCAATAATTCTGTTACTCCAACAGCAGTTACTCTTTACATGTTAGAGGTCAAAGGGTCTCAAGATGAAATAAAAAATGTACCAAACCCTCCGTGTTTTGTGAAGACCATATACTGTTCTGGTTTAGGGAAGTGTTTATCTCAAATTTAGCAATGACCTAAATGCAATATTAACTGAAAATATAACTGGGATGTTTCTGGACACAAGCACTGGTTGAGAAGTGGTTCAGTCTATCCACATAATTTTTAAGATTCTACAGAAGATTTTTTGTGGCAAGACCTATCTCTGTAGAGATTAAGCTTAAGTCAAACAATGTTTTTCAAGTATACTGGCTGCTGCAATAAGCAAAAATGATAAGAAAATCAATTCTGAAAGCATTACAAACCCCAAAGTAGAATATATATTGTGGGAGGGGGTCCCAGGGTTAGTCCACCTGAGATGCCCTGGGAGACCACTTCTGTACAATTTTCCCACTTCCCCTGATGCCAATCATCTATCCCTGTTCATGCCCATCATCGTTTGAGCTATCCCTTTGTTCTGGAATGTTCCTTGTTCTTTATGCTTTCATTGGTTCCCTCTTGTTAGCCACCCTTCCCTCTGTCCCCATCAGTCCTCTCTCTGTTGGTCATCCCTACTCCTCCCCTGTATCGATCGGTCCATTACTGGCTGGTTTGTACCCCGACCCTCCGATCCCGTTTCTGATATTTACCTTACCCCGCCCTCGGGACCGCGCGCTCAGAGCCCGCTCCCTTCCCGAGAGGGTGTCTCCCTGCACCTCTGACTTGTCTTCCCCTCAATAAAACCCTCTGGGAAACACAGCAGCCTGAGCATCATCCCACCTCAGTGGAAGCCTTGTTTTAGCTATCCAGCACCGGCAGACCGTTACTCTCCATGACATTCCCGGCGGGACACAGGTCCCGGCTGCCACAATATATGGCATATATAATGTGTGTTTAATACAGTGTCAGCACCTAGAATATTGCCCTATGTTAATTACTGAAGATGAAAACTGACTGGGGTAATGGATCAATGTTGCATTACTGCATCAAAAGGGATCATTTTCCATGTGAATATAAACTCAAAGAGCAGTTTAAGTGACCAAGTTCAGGATAAACAAGTTGATTCCCTCTAACATATATATATATATATAGATATATATATACAGACACAAATCCCACTATCCATTTCCTGCCTCCTGCTTTCTCTGATGTCCTTTGGATGAGAGATGGAGTCAGTATAAAAGGAGAGGCCTCAGACCTTGAGATAGGTGAGCTTGTTGCACCCCTTCACAGGTATAGCCCATCTCCTTTGTGATCAGGTTTTCATAGAGACTGAAGTAACATTTTATATTTCTCCCACTCTCAATCTAGGTTCTCAACTATCCAGTGAACCTGTGTGAGTCTGGACATCCAAATTTCCTGTTGAAATGTAGTTAGCAGTTCTGCAATACTCTGGAAAGTTTATCAGAGACTGGTTTAAGATCAAAAACCAAGCACTATGTGTGGTATGAATCACTGCAAGGTTGTGCCTACTTATGCTTGTGTGATGACCTGTAACGTCTGCTGGCCTCTGGATACAGTGCCACTGCGCCCACATCCCAGTACAGACAGCAGCCAAACTTTTTGACAAATAGTTTCTCAGCTCCACCTGTATGTTCTGTCCTACTCCTGAACTGGGAGAGCTATTGATGAAATGAGGCCCTTGAATTCTCCAAGATTCTTCAGAAACATCATGTGTGGCATCATCCCAAAGTGCCAATGTCTTTTACACTCCTGCTGTTGTTTCTCCAGTGGCTATTCAGAGATTAAATCAGTCCTGAGAAGCAGCAAGAAGGTCCTGATGGCTGATTGATGCTTCCTAGGTGAAGTCAGGAATGCCATCTAACAGCAGCCAAGGGTTTGTCACAATGCAGGTGGATGCTATCACGGTCTCAAAACCACTAAGTCTTGATTAATGAAGCATAATACAAAACTACCTGATTTAAAAAAGGACAATTGTAACAGAGCCCTGTTTGTACATACTGACTGGGAATAACTCTTTAATAAATATGAAAAAACATCTTTAATTAAAGTCATTACATTAAGTAGACATGACACAATGAACACTGAACTACATTTCTAATTATGTGCTTAAATTTTTGAATATCCAAACAGTCTAACAAGCACTAACATGAATTATTATGGTACTGTTGAAGAGTGATGGGGTGTGGTCTTACTTTGCCTTCAAGTAAACAATACTAAAGAAATTTAAGTAAAACACTGTCTTATTCTCCTTATTTTATGCACTCTAGGCTATGCTGTCTATTCTCTTTGCTGGGAAAATCTGGCCAGAGCGGAAGTGCATTTCAGTGTATTTGCGTACTGGCCTGAAGATATAAAGTCAAGACATGATTTTCTTTATACATATCTTGACAACAGCCTCTTCACTCACCTGCATTTGTGTTTGATCCTTGTAGTAGTACTGTTAGGGTCTCCATAACCAATAAAGCCAGCTGCTTTTGGTCCTCAAATGAACTGTTTCTTGAATCCACTAAAAAAAATTTGAAGCCAAAGTCATAGAAAATATCACTCTTTTCAAAGATGCTTCTTAATAATTTCCACCAACACTTTTATTTTCTTTGCTTCCCCAGAGAGCATGCAGCCCCACCATTTTCCAAAGCAAGCTGAGGTTTAGTCTACACATGCATTCCTGGGAAAGCTTAACTATGAATCATATGAAAAGTTAATTTTATAAAGACAAGAATTTAAACTGAGGATTTAGAGCACTGTGAGCTCCACCGTGAGTGCCTGACATTGCAGCTACTGTTTCTTCAAGCCACAAAACTACAGCAGTTGAAGATTAACTACATCTGTTCTTGTTCAGTTTTCAGTACTTGAAAAGAGAAATTCTACACAAAACCCACAAAACTACACTCACATAATTACAGCAAATGTGCTGATTGCTCAACAGGTGCAGCAGATCAACATGGCAATTGGTATAGTACACGTAGAGAAACACTCCAGGAAAAATAGTGGGGTTTTGGTTATTTTAAATTACTCTAATAAAAAGTAAGCCCCAACAGAAGGACATGTGCACCCTGATTAGATGACAGTTTCATATATTTATTTACAGGAACATAAGAACTGATGTGTTTTCCAATGGAGTTGAGGGGAATAAAGCTTTCTAACTAACCTATAGCTACCACTCACTAATGAAGCTTCATACAATTAAACCCAGGTGAAACACACAGCAGTTATGGTTAAAACTTAAGTGTCACTGATGCACACAAGCTCGATTGCAGTTTGAACGAAGAATGTAAAAAAGATTGTCTGTGTGTGCATGTAGGCTCCTATGTCACGTGGCAGAGACTGCTCTGGAGGCCCAGCACCTGTGCAGCTTATCTGCGATGCTCCAGTCTGGAGATAACTGATCCTAATTTTTTTTTTTTTTAACGCTTAGAAAAATATAGACCCAGCTTATAAAAAAGTCTCCTATTAAGAGCTCAGATATGCAATCTATAGTATTTTTTCAAAGTTGGGGCTAAACACGACGTTATATAAGTACCTTTTGTTAAGAAGAACAGTGATGTTATGTATTGCCCCTATACTTTTTTCACATTAAGTAACTAATATTGAACCAGTACATCAAAAAAACACTTAGAAAGGAAAATATGAATTTGTACTACTTTGCATTCATACAGTATCATTCATTAAAGTTTATCTCAAGAAATTGAGAGAAGCAATTTCAATGAGATTTTAAGATGGCACAGTAGTCCTCAGCAGAATTCAGCCCTTGAGGTACATATTTAGACTCTCCCATTTCTCATAAATGGTAGACTCTACTATTTCCAGCCAAAAAAAGACAAGTATTAGAAAAATGGAAATGCACACACTACCTTGATCATTCAGTGCTTGAGCAGGATCTTTCAAAAGGGCTGCATATTTATGAAGAAGATTTACCATCACCTCCAGAAGCCCCACTTCCCTGAAGACATCCTTGAAGATGTAATCATGACGGGTGAACTTCAAGAGTGTCTTCATGGCAATGATGCTACACTGAAAAGAAGTGCTGGATTTTAAAAGGATGCTCACACTGATCAGTTCTTTACAGGGTATGTAATTCAAGCTGAAGACAACCAACTCCAGCATCTCAAAGTATTTGGTCTGCACTTCTGGAAGTTTAGGAATTTTCTCTGCAAACTGAGACAATGTGTGCTGCGATTCCAAAATGAAGTAGTTGGCATTGTCCGCCATATAAATATTCGTGATGGCATCAAGGATGATTTGTGCTAGATAGTTGGTTTTTGCTCTCAAAAATGCATTCTGGAGTACAGAAAATGCTTGAATATTCCTCACACTATGACCTAAATCAGGAAACAAAGTGGGATGGGAGGAAAAAGGAAAGAGAAAGTTCTTAATCATCATAAACAATGACTACACTTATTAATAATGACCTATGCATTTTAATAAGTAGGAATAAAATAATAATGTATGATGTCACTTTTAATAAAAAAGTCATTAAAATTAACTTCAAAAAAGCCTCTGCACAACCACTTACACTGCGAATTCCACAACCTACTATTCTTTAAGATGGCATCTTTGATAATAAGAGTTTATGTAAGCAGCTAAAGATGCCTATCAAAGATAATTTATTTAAAATAGGTAAGTACATTTATTTAGTGTTAAAACAGGATACAGTCCTAGAGACAAAACAAAGCCTTCCCATCACGTAGCCAGGCCATAGGAGAATTCATTATAGCAACAGCAATATGTTCTGTATTTCATAATGTAGAACACAGCCCTTGCAGCTGGGTATTAAAAACCTTTGGCAGGGTCCAGCACTATTAACAATTAAGGAATTGAAACACAGGGAAAGAGTTGTAAAATATAAAGTAGCTGCAATATTAGCACACAAACACCTCACAGCTTTAAAGCCCAGTCACATTTCTTCTTTTAAGTACCTTCAAGTTGATTGAAATCTCATTCACTCAGCTAACAAATGCACCATTTATGAGTGTGCCCCAAAATTTTCTATGCGTAGATATTATTCTATTCAAAAGATGTCTCAAATTTGACTTTTTAAACTTCTGTAGGAATAGTACAAGACACAGTGGATAGATCCCACAATACAGAAAACAACTAACGGTAAAAAATAAAAATAACTATCAAAACATACAATCAAGAGTGAGAACTTTAAAGACATTCTAAACAAAGCATTTAGGAAGTTTTAACAATAAAATATTTTTTTTTTTTTTTCACAAATAAAGGTATATGCAAAATAAAATCTTTTTTTTTTTTTCACAAATAAAGGTATATGCAAACTGTTAACCTAATTTGAAAACTCCTTTCATAAACAAAAACTTCTAATGTATTATTAGCACATTGCTATGGCATGCTACTGTCTTCATTTTTGTAAACTAAATTGTCTAATTGAACTAAATTCAATTATCTTCATGCCTAGTCTCTCCACCTTCCATTTCAGTATTTTTCCAGGAGGCAAGAGAAAACTCCCTTATAAATGAACATTGGAACAATTTCACATTTGGAAGAATATTAGTTATAACACAGTTGTTCCTAAAAGGACTTCTTTACATGCTATCTTTACTATGAAAAATGTTCAAATGAGGGGATTTAGGGCTTATTAAATGTGACAGGAACATAACAGTGCCAGACACAACTACTAATATTCCAACTTAGTATCAACAGTTGTTCCAGGCAATCAAGTAGATTAATAAATTATTTTTGATTTATCAGGAAGACCCCTGAATAAATCAAATTCTAACCAGCTTTTCACAGTTCAAGAACTAAAATTATTTAAATGGAAATAATTGAGAAAATCAGTAAATTGAGAAAACACAGTCTTCATAAAAAGACAATTTGCCAACTTTATGAAAAGCAGGTAAAAGGAACAGAGATGTCCTGACAAATACCACAAAGTTAAAGAACTCTTTTGCAGATTGCAACTGACCATGGTTCTCTCATAATATTGTATCAGAAAAGCTGATTCACCTTAAAAAAATTAATATTATTATCAAAACATGGAGAAACTAAACTCTTGAGTGTTCACCTTCTTTCTCTATTTAGTGCAAAAGAAAAACAATTCCTTAGAACAATGAACTCTCTCCATAGCAGAGAAAGGAAGCCACTGCCCAAGGAACCTAGGATGTATATTCATTAGTTTATACATCTATCAGTGCAATCCTAGAACAAACTTTTCTTGTGCAGTGGTATATCTCATAAAAGTTCAACGAAGTAGCTCCACAGTCACCATTAAATTCCAAACTCCTTAGCTACATACAAGACTAACCTGAATTTTAATTTTATGGACAGGATATGGAACATAAGTTTATTTTTATATAACCCTTTCTCCCCCAAGACATTCCTCAACCTTCTCTCCAAATTGTAATTGACTGTGGTTTCAAGCACACCACAGATTTTATCATTCTTATCACACTGGTGATGAAATAACAGATTTCAGCTCACAAGTTACATTTGCCTAAGCTGACAAAAGCTAACAGAAAGCAATGTGAAGTAGGGAAAGGATTTTACAAAAAAAAAGAAAAAAAAAAATCAAGCCAACACATCAGCCATTCATATCAATTTAGTAAGAGAGCATCTTAAAACACTATAAATCAAATCAGTGCATCTTTCCATTAAGATAATCTCTTCAAATCTCCATGTAGAAATCTTTGCAGTGAAGAGGCTGGACCTGTCTTCAAAGACAAAAGTCCTAAGCTGTTTTCTTTGGGTAACAACCCCATAATAAAATATCTGAGACCAAATAATGGTCTCAAATATAATTTTATACACAAGCTTAGATAAAGAACCTAGACTTAGTTGTAAAGGGTTTGTGCAATACATAGCTGCTCTGTATCTTGTCATTTGCACTTAAACAACAAAAAAGCTAACAGAGAGAGAAAGAAAGCAGACTCACCTTTGCCTGCAGGTTGTGGGACTGCAAATCCAGGTAGCAGGAAAGGTACTCCAGTGGTAACACCAGCTGGCTTTAATTCATTGACACCGTATGTTGTTAAGGAAGTTATCAAATTAACTAAATCTTTCAAAGCATCCTTAGATTCAGCTTCTTTTGCCTGTTCTAATCTAAAGAAAATACAATAGGATCAAGTTAGCAGCACTAGTTTATCTGAACTCAAAACATTTTGGTAAGATCTGTTTTATTCTATCAGTTTAGAGACTAATTTTGCTGCCTGATTCCTACAGTATTTTCCATGTCCATATGTCATACCATTAGGTTAGTCAAACACTGGACTTAAAAGAGCAAACAGTTATTTGCCATAGGAATTTACCTCATAAATCTCTCCTTGAACTCAACAGTCTGCTAAAAACCAAGAGACATGAAAATTACATTAAAAATCCTCTCACAGACATGAAGATACTGTATAGAAAAGTACATGGATAGTCTGTAATTAAACAGATCTGTAATTAACTTGGTGGACTACATCTGCCACTTTGAGAGTGATTATTTTGTGCTAATGAAATGGTATCTTGGTAAAGGCCTAGCACTCACAAGCATGGGATGAAGCACGAGAGAACAGAAATGTTAACATTCCATCCCAACCATTGCTTACTGACAGGAACACACCATCCGACCAAACCTAAAAACTGACTCTGAATCATAACACCATCCTCATTTTCCTGCTACTTCACCACAAATAAAACCATGCTTAATTATTTATTAGCTCTGTAGAGCTCAGTAGTAAACTTGGGACCATGTTCTTCTATAGATTCAGGCAGTGCAAGCTCTGTTTGGCTTCTTGCTGACAAATGATTGTTGGAGCCCTTTACAAGCAGCTCAATCTGCATCCTTCATCTTCTCAGTCAGATGCAGCTGAGGAAGGAACCTCGCTCAAACAAAAACCTCCTGCAAACAGTCACTACAGAAGCACAGAGCTCACCTATTATTGTACTAATTCTCTACACGCCCTGCCCTTTCACATCATCCAGATGAAATTACCAAAGTGCTCCTCTTGCCCTCATAGATTTTCTGCAATTTCTTACTGAGCCACCTTCTTCACACATCCTTCTGGTTTTCCAGCTCCAAAGACTTTCCTCTTTGCAGCTTGAGACCCAGTGTCCAGATTTCATGTCCTTACATGACAGTTATCATCATAAAAGTGCCCCAGAGCTAAGCAAGTCTCTGTGGGTAGGTTTGAGCCAAAACTCGGTGGTCCATCATTGACCAATGCACAGGCTCATTCAAAATCATTGTTTTTTGAAAAGAACTATTTTCTTCTAGAAAACCCCTTCAGGAAGAAATTAGGATAACACATTCCTAGGCTATTAACATTTACTGATGTCACCTGATGATGCCAGGTGTCCTCCTTTTTCAATGAGACATGCAAATCCTTAGTCTTCCTATACATTTGGCAGGAATCCCCCATTCTTTGATTTAAGGATGAACAAGCTCAGGAGAGAATTTGTTTAAAGCACTTGATCTACAGTAAATCACTTTTGTACCTCAACATGTAACATGACAGCACATTCCCCTCATATTTCCCCTAAACTCTGGCTGACAGTTTCTGGAACACAACTGCATTTGAATAATACTATTTTGAATTAATGCATTAGTGAATATAACATACTCCAAAACTCCAATTATAGAACAAGAAAAATAACAATTCCTTAACAGGTGCTTTAGCTTTTGTGGTACCAAAGGTAACATGAGTAATTTTAAGTGTGACTAAAAATGTCAAATGTCATGTCTATGTCTGGTATCCATTTAAAATAAACAAACAATAAACAGAAGTATACAATGTAGTGGAAAATTTAGTTCAAATATTTGGGTGCCAAGACTCAGCATACTAACACCAAAAATAGGGAGATAACAACATTAGCATTTCTCAGTAATAATGTCTTAAGCATCTTTGACCCAAATATACTTTGTAAGGTGTATACTTCTAGTTACCAAGTATGTACCCTGTATTTGTAAAATAGATATATTTTACAATAGCAACAGCTACGCATTCTTCTTCAGAACTTCATATTCAATCAAAGCAATATTGTCTGCTCACAGATTTTACTCAAATAAAGCAAGAGACACTCTTCTTTCTCAGTCAGTAAATTAAAGAAATTTCTTTCATGGAAATGAGAAGAGAGATCATGGATAGATCACATACTGAAGGTTTTTTGGGCAGGCATTTTCATTACCATATTTTTTAATGCATTAGCAGCTTAGAAGAATTTTTAATTAGGAAAAAAAAACCTATTCCCTTGTGGCATTCCCCACATTTACATATGGGATTTTTCATTATGGTAGCGTGATGACACAATAATTATCGAATTATTTAGGTTGGAAAAGACCTTCAAGATCATTGAGTCCAGCTGTTAGCCCAACACAGCCAAGCCCACCACTAAACCATTTCCTTAGACAAAACAAACTCCAACCAAACTCAAAAATCACTAGTTGCAGCCAAAATTTTATGTTCTGGATTCTCTCTAAATATTTAGTACCAGTTTTTTTAAGCAACTGCTGTATTTCCAAAGCAAGAAACATTTAGTAATAAACAGTACTAAAGAACAAAAAATTCAAAGTTTCGTCAATGGAGAGAAACACAGAATTCAATGTTTTGGTCCTAATATCTTAACTCCATAATGATCGATAATCACTTACTTGTTTAAACCTATTCATCCACTCTTTATAAGAAATCTTTTTTGAAAAATGCCCAGTGATATGTCTGCATTTCTTCAAGCATTTTTGCCTACCTGAGGAGGAGGTCACAGAGGAAGTTGTATCCTTGCCATATCCTAAAATCATCCAACAATGTTTGGGATACATCACTGGAGTCTTTGAGAAAACAAGAAAGTCCAGCAAACATCTCAACTATTTCTAGGGGAGAAAGGTCATCAGACTGCTGCATGTTCTGGACACATGTGGACAAACATTCCTTTTCTGAAAAGAATTGCAGTGGAGAAATTTAGAATTTTACTGACATTAAGGACAGCAAGAAGCATAAGCAACACACAAAACACAACAATAAGGTAATAACTTATTCAAGTATCTCTTGTCACAGAACACTTAATACCACTTGAGGATGAGAAGGATTTTCAAGTGGCTTTGGATCAGAACCCTAACCTTTTTTTGGCAACCTCTTCCTCCCTTTTACAACATTTACTCTTGTAAGGAGGAAACTGCGTAGATAAATACTAATTTTTACCTAAAATGTCTGACCAGAGAACTCAACAGAATAAAAAGACAAATATGGCAACTGTAAGTAATTCTAAACTGTATTTTTTTGTTTTAAAACACAAAGTTATACAAAGCAGTGATTTGAAGTGTTATCTCATATTCCATCAGTTCATTAGGTCAGTAACAAAGTTTTCTCAAATCTGTAGTGAGATTTTAAGTTGCCAGCTGTTTTAAAGATGCTCCCTTTAATTATTTGCTATTTTAACTTTGCAGTATGCACAACACAAGCACAAATCTTTCTAGCTAGACTGATAAAAAAATTTCCCAAAGGTTAAATCAGAGCATGAGAGCGTGAAAGGATGCTTCTTTGCATATGATGAAATATCTTAATTTTTTTCTGAATGTAAGTTAAGCCTTGTGACAGATGTTATCTCTTAAGTCAGGTTCACTTTTTTAACAAAAGAAGAAAGTGGCAATGCTGACTGGTTTTCTTTTTAAGACACCATTTCACTTCTTAAAGAGCCTAGAGTATTTTTTCACATGCCAGCTTCCCTCCACTATGGATCAAGCCCATAGGGAAGCAATAATGGTAGCAGCTGTAACATGCCAAATGACAGTCAAAACTCCAGTTATTTCCTTTGTTGCACTTAATAACAGCTTCACATGTGTACATACACCTTCTACACTCATCAAAAGCCCACCAGAAACCTATCACCTTGTAAGCCCTATCTAAAAACACTCAGCTGGTGACTATGCTGTGCTTTGAGTGATACTGAACATTCATATCTTTTTGACTGGAATTGGAAACACACTGCTTGCACAAAAAAAAAGAAAAAGACTGAATTTTCTGTGAAATATGTGGGAGCAGGCTGATGTATTCAATAAACGATAAATACGGAGCTTTGCAGCTACTTGCTTCTCAGGTTGTGAGCAGCCCAAAATTGTGGGTTTCTTCTTTTCCAGTAGGTGTACACTGCTAAAATGGATGTTTTAAGGATGTTTGTTCACTCCAACAGTTAGTCCACTTTAAAAACTACAAATGCTTCTTATGTGGCCCTACAGTCTAAAAGCCTTAAATATAATATTAGAAACATATTTTATCAGATTTCTTACCTCAAGTCCTGCATACCTAAACACCCATGTGGTTTTCAATTAATGCAAAAATAATAATTTGTATGCAAAGCTGCTTCCAGGCAGCTAATATCTTCTCCAACACTGGTTTTCATCTGCAAGTTGTTGTGGAACCAGCTTGGCACCTCCCTCTTTACCAGCTCCTTGCAAAGATAGATGATGAATAAAGTACTACTTTCAATTAGCTACCAAAATCTGTAACCAGCTACACAAATGTCCCTGTACACTACAGTTTCCATGCCAGCAACAGCCAGGATCTTCTTGTCTTAACAAATGGACAGGAGACAAACTGGAATGATTCTGGATGCTTCATTCATTTAGTGACTTACAGGCAGAATTAAGCCCATGAGATAACTTTAACTTGGCCTTCAGCATGCACAAAATCTTCATTCTATAATCTGTAAGCCAAGGTGGGGAAGATGAGTGCCTGGCAGAAGAAATGCAGGGTGACTGAAGGGTCAGCAATCCAGTCAGTGAAAGACCAGGAAAAGCATAAGGGCTCCAAATCCATCCAGTACAGGTATGGTTCTCAGCCAAGAAAAGAGCCTCCATGGGCCAGGCCTAAAAACAACATTCTTGGGTTGGGAAAGCTGGGCTGGACCACAAGGGGAGGAAGACAGCTGCCTCCTAAGAAATAATGCATCTTCACAGCAATTATTTTTCAATTCAGGCAGTTACTGAAAGCCTTTCCTTTTCATTATCATGAACTCTACACCAAAACATGAGAGAAAACAGTAATTCCAGGTTAAACTGAAATGTGAATGAGACAGACTCAGTTAAGATCACTTCTCTCACTACACAACAGCCTAGAAATGTTACCTGTATGTAAATAAGCACATGTCCAAACTAAAAGCCTAGAAGCTTCCCTATTATTTTAATGGCTATTTCCCAAATAAGAAAACTATGAAAGAAGAGCAGGAAAAAATCCCAATACTAAAGAAAGACACATACCATGGATGTATTTCACTACATTGACACTAAGGCCATGACGAGATATGGTCATTAGTACTTCTCCTGCACTCTTCCTCCAAGGCAGGTTATAGGGAGGGCACCATGAGGTTATTGCACTGAATAGAAGCTGGAGATCATCCTTCTGAGCCAGTTCTTCTGCCGGGGACACAAAACTGCACAATTTTACTAGGATCTGAAATAGGAAGTCATTAAACAACTAGCATTAATACCTTTATCACTGCTAATTTTGCCCAGACTTAGTAAAAGTTGAAACATTCTTCCACTAAGGAAACACATCAAAAAAGGTAATGTGCCGCTTTCCCTTTGTGTTTCTGTACTTTGAACATAAGACAAGGTTATTTGACGTATGGTTATTTCAAGTCCCAGTTCAGTTTAAAATGCTCACCAGAAGACTGGAAGCAGAATTTAAATCTCTTAGGCTGACACAGCATATTTGCATGGACACCAGAATATTCCTTTCTTGGAGAATCTGCCAGTTACCTAATTTGCAGGTTTAAATTTTGAACTGGGGGAGAAGCTCTGTGAGGCAAACTGTATTCCTTCCTAATGCAGGAAGAAGGCTATTTATGGGTTGTTGGCAGAGCAGCAACCATAACATCTTGGTCAAATTAAGTTTGTCAGGAAAAGCTACAGCAAAACTGCAGACCTACCTGAGTAACTGGCACCTGGATGTGAATTTCCTAATTACCAAAACCAAGAAAAATGAAGCCAAGTGAAGCTACTATGTCATGCTCCCTTTTCTGCATGTTTTGAGATGTCTGATTTCTTGCATCTTGTGCAGGAAAAACTCAGGCTCCCTCCCAGAAAACTGGAGAGAGGTTGTCTGCAACTGGATGGGGAGGTCTGAAACCTCACTCATTCCAGTCAGTTCATTTGAGAGCACCACTTTATTATCAATACTAATGTTTTTTACTACATCTATTTCAATCAGTAACAGCCAAAGATAACAAGTACTAGGACCAGTTGGATGAAAAAAGAATAGTAGTCCACACGTTGCTCCTTTTAAACATCTGTGCAGAAGAGATGCACAGATTTCTGTGCAGGAGGTATTTGTCAAAGACAAAAACTAGAGAAGGAGTGGGAATTTAACCTCAACTGTGCTTGCAGGAAAATCCACCTCTCTCTTAACTATCAGTTTTTTAAGAATCAAGGAAGAGTAAAATGTGGCTCAAGTGAAAAGTTTCTAGACTTTGTTCACATTAAGTATTTACATTCCTCTTGCAAATTCCCTGACCTTTTTTACTTTCTTACCTGTACAAAGACTTTCTGTAGTAGCGCTCGGCGCTCTGCGAGAGGTAGTTCATTCTGTGCTCCTCCAACTACCTCAGGCACGTGTGGAAGGTCAAAAAACAGATACAGACATTTAACAAGTGTGGAAGGCACTGACATTGTAGTCATGCAGTCCACAGTTTTCTGAGGAAGAAAAAAACACAGTGAAAAATTCCAGTTCAGCATATTATATATTCCAAACATCAATAATAATGCAGTTGAGTGAAATGCTGGTTTTTTTTCCTTCTCACACTTTGGTGAGGTGTTGACACAGCAGTACAGATTCACCATCAATTCTTGAGTGCCTATCCAAACAGTAATTTTAAAAATAGGATGATTTATTTACATGACAACAGCATCTCATAGCCACAGTTCAGAGTAGTCAATGCACAGGACAGAAGCAAAACCTGTCAGTCTCTGCCAACAGAAGTTAACAAGTTAATTACAAGACCTTCAGCCAAGCCCCTTATCAGCTATCAATTCTTCCTAACAGAAGAAATGGGAGTGGGAGGAGGACTATTCAATTTATGCTCTCCTTTGGCAAGAATGCATAAGGAGCTGTAAGAAGCACGGTAGTAGAAAATATGAAAGCATCAGTGGGAAGAAAAGATAAACTGACGTGGAGGCTGGTGACATACTAAAACAGAGTTAAGATGATGTGCTGAATTACAAAGGCACATTAGAGCAGAAATAACAAACCACACAGCTGCCCAGCATACAGCCAGAGACAGCTCTCTGGTGTGCAGCACATGCAGGAATGATTCACTACCACTCCCATTAAATCACTGCTGCTGGCCTTGCTTTTTGCAAATGCTGTGGCCCTCCTCCTGTGAGGTGTGCAAAGTTCAAGGTCTGAACTATTTAGGTGCTCTATGTGCCATGCATCTCATGGGGCACTAAGCAGCAGTATGTAAGAGAAGCCTTTGGGCAGCAATAAAAGTTGCATGCATTATTCAAAGCATTATAAATTAAAGTCTCAAAACTACTCTTTTTTCATGCAACTGAAACCACAATGAGCTAAATCGTAAGTCCTGTGGCAATATAAGAGAAAGAGTATCTTAACACAGAAAAGCAGAATATTATTACATCTTTTGGTGAGTGTTCATGTAATTAATTTTATTATTGCTTTGTCTCTTCTACTCTGTAATTTATTTTTAGCTTTGCTGTTTCAGACTAACCTGTCCTGATGAAGCTAGTAAATTGATTGTGGTGAGCAGCATCCAACCTCTACTTGCTTCTTCACTTTGATTGACCTCCAGAAACTGGACTATGGCACGACTTGCAGCCTCTGTAGGAGGCAGTAAAAAGAAAAAAAAAGCCAGTAAGAATTCAGTCTGCTGGTCTGCAGAAGAAACATATCCTCTCAGCAGCACTGAGCATAAATTCAGTTTAACAGCACTAGTTATGAAAAGGACTAGGCTTAGGCCTATGCCTTCCAGACACACATTCCAGTCTTACACACACACTTGGCTTTGATGCTGGCAAGGCTGCAGAAAGTACATTCTTTGGTCACGCATCATCCTTGACTAGCAGACAAATTTCAGTAACCTACAGCAACTTCTGTTTGAGTAGTTTTGCATTATCAATATACAATATACTTTTTCCAAAGATATGAAGTCACCATCCATTAGTGGCCTCCGTAGAAATAGCTGAAATTTCTCAAAAAAATCCCTGCACTGAAACAACAGTATGGAGGATAATGGGGATTGTAGGGGAGAAGAAGTGCTGAAAGACAATTGAAATAAAAAAACAGGGAAAAGTAACATTAAGAGTATGGTCAGCAATTACCACATCCTGATTCTACATTTTTTGACAATGAGAACAGTAACAGCTTACAGATAATTCTTATGATTGAGAACCACTTCTGGATGCTATTCCATATCAGTCAGAGCCAAAGACAGACACTCAGCCTAGTAAACAAGTTATCAGCCTCAATAAATAAATCAAGAGAAAATGCAACCCTATGTCACTGCTGCATGAATACACACTTATGTAAGAAGTCTATAATGCCAGTTGTGATGTCTGCCCATTACCTTTAAGAGACATCTAAAAACATTTTTCATTAATAACTGTGCATCAATCATCTCCTGTGCTTTTAGTGTCAACTAGGACAGAAAAGGAAGGTGAATAATGTCACATAAAAAAGTAATTACAAAGGAATTCCTAATGGAGGAATAAATCTGCAACTGAAGAAAAATCCTATTTTAATACTGGTTTGTTTGCTTCATCTGCTTTTAAGATTCCCCAGCACATACCTGTGAAGTTTATCTGAAAGGCAGTCCATTTCATATGGCAAAGTACTTATCAAACTTGTAGTATCAATTACAGTGAGAAGATCACTTTATGAAGCATCATACTGTAAGCTGTGCAGATTTGGTTCATTTGTTCAATGGCTCCTTTCTCGTGTTTTTGTCTGGCAGACTTTTTCCTATAACAGACTTTCGCACAAACCACTAGCTTTTCCAATTCTAGTGCTAAAGGAGAGGCCCCTACCACTTCCCTCCATGAGACTGAGATAAAGTTTGACGTATCAAGGTGAAAAGTAAGGCAATTTATAAAATTCACACAATTAAGGACAAGTAGGAATTTCCCAGCATGCTGACCTGAAACTATCAGTGCAAAGCACTGGTCAGGTGGTAGGGGTATATGAACAGGCCAACTTAGAAAGCACAACAGCCATGACACAGCTCCATTTCCTACACTAAAGACATAGGCAAAATGTCAGAATTCCTGACAAAAGCCATTTTTCCTCAGTTCTGAGAGCCAAGCATGTCTAAAGCATGCACTGCTGCTTCAAGTACAGTGCTCCACCAGCACAGCATAAGGTGTGATTTTGTAGGCCTATTGTCCTTCTATCCTACCACAAACAGAGCTGGGCAATCAGTCTCTGACTGCAAGAGACTGTCTGTGCATACCAAACTGGGTGTGCACAACCTTCCAAAGCCACCTATGGAATAAGGTCTCGTTCAGTCATCTTTGAAAATGAAACTCATGGGGTTAAGTTCATGCTTCTGCAAAAAGTTGTCATGCTGCTGTGGCATCCTGGCATAGCAGTAGAACACTATAAATAGCAGTTTCAAAATTGTCACTCTTAATTAAGCACTACCTAAAACACAGACAGGATTTTACGTGCTGGAACACGTTCTCTTGTCATCTGCTCTGAGCAAATTTGATAGTGCTATCATTTAAGATTAACTTCTATCTTCAGCACTAGTCTTATTTTATTTCTTGTACCTTTCCCCTGTTTTTGAAGTACCCAAGTCATCTTTTAATATAACATCCTCTATGTGCCCCATTCAGATGTCCTTAGCCCTTCAACTTCTGCTGCAGAAGAAAGCCAATTCAGAAGCAGGATATGCTAACCAGTAAAAACAGCAAAAAGGCAAAGAGAAAAACCTATAAAATAATATGTAAATATACCTACTGTTACAGTGGTGCAAGCATGTACACGTGACTATGACCATGATTATGTGGTTACATGATTAATACAAAAAAGTCAGATTTTCCAGCACGGATTCAGTATATATGGGATAGAGGCTTGGTAGAATCAAACAACAAAATTTGTTTCACATGTAAGAGGTGCACTGCATCCTGGACTTCAGAAAACCAAAAGGCAGCAAGCAGTGGGATTAGAGTTATTCAGATGGGTAGCAAAAATCAGTGCTACAAGCACTGCAAGCAATGTTGTTGCCTATAGCAATAGCACTACGGGCAAATTTAGTCCAAGAAGCTTTTAGTTATATGATCTAGAATCATAAATAGTATATAATAGCATAATCAGGCTTCTGTATAGCTTATTCTTGAGGGGAATGGTAGTGAAAAAAATATCTGTGCATGTGCCAAGGGTGGGAGGGGAGGTACAGTCAAAGGTATGGATGGGTGTGTTGGAGGTGGTGAAGGTGAAGCTGAAGTCAGGGATCCCTTCTCTAACGGAGCCTTCTAGAAGGCTCTGCTTCTTTTGGGAAATGCCCGAAGACACAGTCAGGTACCTAAAGTTACAAAATACAAGTAATTCTAACTACACAGATAGTAAGAGAGAAGTATCAACCCAAATAAAAACGTGATGGCACAAAGTCTGCCTTCCATCATCAGGAGCAGAGTTGGACTGTCATCACACGTGGCAGACATGAAGAGGCTGATGCCTTTGCAGTGTGCAGAAATGGAGGGCTGCTCATCCAAAGATAAAACAACTAAACTGTGCCAACCTTTAGCCTCACTAATGCAGATGATAAAAGAACAGGCTTTCTAGGATCTCTTGGAAAGGCTCTATATTGTAGTACACTTGCCTTGTGTAAGATCTGGTAGAAAGCACCAAAAAGAAAACAGAAAATTGACCAAAAGTAGTGAGCTATAGAAGCTGTTAATCTGAACTGGCCTTTAATGAATAGTAGCTGACAAACACTTCTTTTTCCCTTCCAGAGCAATTTCAATAAACACAAACCAGAATCACCTTGTAAAGCAAAGTCCCCCACAGAACAGGGAAAGCATACGTATGCAATGAATAAAAACAAGATGTGCAATCCCAGCATGTGAAATAATTTCCAACAATCTCTTCTCAGTAGAAGAAAAGTTAACATACCTAAAAAAGTCTGAAAGCAGCACCTAAGAGCACTTATTTTATTGACAAAAATCCTCCCTATCTTGAAAACTTCAGACTTCATTAGTGGAGAAGCCTGAAATGCACCTTAGTAGCAGAAGAAGATCCCTTCAATTATCATTTGTAATTCACCCAAATGCAAGATGCACTTAAACAAATTATACTAACTTCGTGGATTGAGAATAAACATAAAATTAGTTCTGCTGATGTGACAGAGATTAACTGTAAAAAAAAGCCTAAAAAAACCCCACCAGATTTTGCAGATTAATGGATCTTTAAGAAGAATAAAGGTAGGCCTTTTAGAGGCCAAATACCAACCACTAATGTGGTTTTCTACAATGATGATGAATGTTTATCAACTTGATCTCCCAAAATGATTTGATGATGAGATAATGATAGTCTTTCAGCATATCTGCTATAAAAATGCCTGAGGAGGTTAAAAGCATTTGCAGTGGTGAAACAGTTTGAATAAATCTGTGAAATTAGGAGGAAAAGAAAGAAACTAGAGGTAGAACCCCTCCCCCCACAAAAAAACACAAAAGAAAAAAACTAAAAAAAAACCCTAAAAACCAAAACCAACCAAAGAAAAAAACCCTAAAAATTAAAAAGAAGGGTGAAAAAAATATCCAAACTCAAAACAAACAAACCCACTCCTCCTTCCGTTCAGAAATAACCTTTTAAAAAAACCAAAATCACTACAATAGTCAGAGGTTATAAACAACAACTGAAAGTGCTGGAGGTAGGAAGGATTAGCTGAACAGCCTAGCAGTACAATAAAAATAAATTTAGCATTCAATTCTAAATACTGTAAGAAACACAAACAGAAAATGTTGTAAATATGACATGAAAAACTGACTGAAATTAATAGGGACACAACTTAACTGAACTTAGAAGGTACACAGAGCAGTGACGTACACTAGCTAGCCAAATAAAATCACCAAAAAACCAAACAAACTTTTGAAATTGTCTTTGAAAGGAGTCTAAAAAGTTCTAGATCTGTGATGTACCACTTTGCTTTCTCATTGTTCAGTTTTCTACCCTTCTTCAGTTTCACCTGTCCTCATAATCACATGTTTATATTTTGTCTACAGTATGATTTTCCAGGTAGCAGGACTGCCCATCACTTAGGTAATCATTCTGAATCTCCCTGGCATAACTGTTAATGCATTAAATAATGGGCCCTGACTGGATGTTGTTTGGTGTGCTCAAGACACAGACAATGGAGAGGACTGAGTTAGAAAACCATTTTTGTTAGAATTACCACAAATAATAACCAATAACCACCAAATCACAGGTCTGCACATCCTCAGCTGATGAAATATGAGAAGCTGTTTAGAGTGAGAGAGGTGTTGGTTTGAGCCTGGTGCTAATAACACCACGTTATGGGTACAGGTTGTGGGTACAGTTCACACAGCGTCCACTGACCTAAGAGCTGGACTTCACGATCCTTATGGCTCCGTTCCAACTCGGAATATTCTCCAATTGCTCCCTTTGCAACTTTAATTTAAAGACATGCTGTTGGAATAGCTGCAAAATCACAGAACCACCAACTCCACCCAGAGAATGCCTTTAGAAAAACTCATTATATTAAAGTGTTGCTTCCTCTCCTGACAAAGTAGCCATTAGTAGTCACATCAGTTCTATCAATTTTCAGCTGTGCCTGTCCCTTTTTTCAGAAGTCTTTTCCAGCTCTGAGCCAGATGCACTCGCTCCCAAAAGAAAAGTTCGTTTCAGAATTGAGACTATACTAGAAAATAGATGTTTGAACATATATTCTACATAGTACTACCACAACTTTTTGATCAATTCAGACACAAAATTTGACTTATTTGTGACAAATGTGGCAGCTAAAAATCTCAAGTATATAGAGCTATCTCACCCATGACCCCACCACCTTCTAAACAGACTAGACAGTCCATGACAAGGGAAAGTATTTACTAATCCTCATAAATAGATACTGCTGTCACCAGAAAATCATCCCTGTTGTACAGCAAAGACTGAAAGCTGCAAGATAATTTAACTCAGATTTAACTGCTTCACTTTTCACTATCCCTACCAGAGAAATAAGGCAGTTGAAATGTAGCTGAACACACAACTACAATGGCAATGTTCAGAGACCACTTAAGACAGGGTGCTGGCACAGTTACTACTGAATCACAAAACACTGTTCTGAGGAAACTACTACAGTCTGCCAAGAATAACTGAGATATGCCTCCGCCATGGCACGCATTACTCACATAGCTATTAGCATAAATATTCAAAGGCCTGATGAAAATAATTGCCCTGTGTTCCATTATCTGATGGAGTAGGAAAAAAAAATAAAAGCAAAGGAAAAAAACAAAAACAAAACAAAAGCAACAACAACAAAACCAAAACAAACAAACCAACAAAAAAACAAACTACCAACATACTCACAGGCAAGATTTAACCATACCACATTCCCCACTGCAAAATACTGTCAACACATTTATAGAAATCAAGTTATTGCAAAATTTCTTCCCTGTCATTAACTATTGAAAGTTGACTTTTGATTGTATGGAAAGCTTGTCTCTAACACAGGCTCAGCTATTTTCTTGACTTACATGGACCACTTCACATCATCAAGAATTTGCACTTGGATACTACAAGAGACATTTCCTGTATGTTGTTGCTACTGAAGTTTTTTACTTTTAAAAACATGCTAGGAGATAATTACCTGTCAGCAGCTATTAATACATGTTATATCTTTTTGTTTGAGACACAAAAATAATGGAAGTTCTAAAAAAAATTATGCAAGAAGTCTTCACAATCCACAGACACAGTATGAGGTCTTTAACATAAAGCATATTCTAAAAAGCCATTAATTTCTATTTTTTTAAATCAGCATCACAGGAAGTGTGCATCTAGCTCTAATCACTAACACAGAAGTCTAAAAACTGAGTTTTAATAGCATGTTAATTGGTTATTTCTGGAGAGTCAACACACTGGTCCCACCAAGAGAGTCGCAATGCAACTGCACAACATGGACCCATCAGGCTTTCTTGAGGTCTAAAAAGGGTTTACTGACCAGAGTAACAGCAATCCTGATAACAGAGGAAAAATGACTGCTTTCTGTTTTAATAGAAACATTGGCATTCATTACATTAAAGCTTAGAAGAGCACCAGACTGTCTTTTTAGTCATTGTGGTCAAGTTTCCACATGGGGTGGAAAACATGAAAAATATCCCAAAATACCACCATCAACAAAAATTTACCTTTGACTTGTGAGGTTTTAAGAACTGGATTATCTTGGAGCAATGAGCAGAGATATGGCTGAAGTAACACACAAAAATGGTTATTCCCCACAGAATCCAACTGACTAGCAGACATAACAGATGTTCCCGGGGAAAAAAGGTCAGGTGAATACCTCCATTCTGCCAGCATGGCTGTTGCACACTTATTTCCCCCTAATACTCAAAAGACATTTTGCACCTATTTACCCATAGAGGACAGGTTTTGTCTATAGTATCTGTTTAGCCATCTGTAATGTTTCACTGCTTCACTGTTAGGCACTACTTAAAATGGATATATATTGTAATTGGCACAGATTGTGACTTTTGACTTCCTGCACAATAATATTCAGAGCCTTTTCCAGTCCTCATTTACCACCAAATCCAAACTGAGAACACAGCACAGATCTTAAAATTATCTAGTAGGCAAAGACTTGATACTTCTTAGAAGCACTCCTCTTCAGAAAAGGAAGTCTAAGAGGAAAGGTAATGAAACTGCCTTCTTGGTGCATTGTCCTCAGTTATGCAACTGCCAATACAACATCAGGTTCTGACACATTCAGTGGTCAACAGAACCAAATCTCACCCTGACATTTAATAATCAGAAAAGAATCAGAACAGTCCACTGACATTTTTCTAGAGCTAGCAGAGTTGGTCCTAATGTGGGACTTCCTGTATTTTCACATCTTGTTAGCTTCCTGGCCAGCAGCTAATTTAAAATGCATAGCTTTGGAATGTTAACATATCCAAGTGACACAACACATCACCAACAGGCACCTCAGGCAAGATACAGCAGCTGTTCACATGCATGTTCTCGGCCTCCTTCTCCTAGTAGGTCATGCAACTCAGTTCACACCTCTCTCTCATTTTGTGGAGAAATTTTGTGGAACTCAGCTTTCTCCACAACTCAGGGAGGAAACCTCTAACCTCTTCCTCCTCCTCTCTCTCTCAGTCAGAAGGAACAAAAAAACATCACATTTTCATTGCTAAAAATTCAGTTTCTGAGCCTGCACAGTTGCTGTGAATGGCAGCTCTTAGTATTCTGACTGATCTGAAAATCACGATGCACAGATGTGGAAAAGGCCGCCCTTGTGCCCCATGCAATACCTGTGGATTTATTTGATGCTCTCCGTCGAATTTCAGTCACCATCAATCGTGACACTTGAGTAGTAAACTGCAGGAGGTCAGAAAATTTTTCTGTCATAGTACTTGGAGGAGCATTTCCAAACACCTAAACCAAGAGAAAAATGGATGCATTAAAATAATTCCGTTTACAAGGATCACTACAAACTACCACGTTCCTTTGTGAAGAAGTATTGCTATGGAGATTACAAGTTTTTCTTTACATGCTGCAGCATTCATCACTGCACTGGGTGCATGCTCTAAAATATGTTCAGGGTTGGAATTCAGATCTCATTCAGGGAGGTAAAATCTGATGAATGGAGGGGAAAAGAGAGTTATAAGTTTCCTTGCAAGATGAAAACCCTGCAGAACTCCAAAAGACTGAGATTGCACTGAATGGGGTAAAGAACAGGTACCAGACCAAATTCTCCAACAGGACTTCTGTTTTTAAGATTAACTCCTTTACTATCTACTAAATATATGGACATGTGTAAAGTCTTTTAAAAGGACTAAGAATTAGAACTGCCCTGTTATGTCCTTTTTCAATAAACTCACAATACTAGGAAGTCTCCCATGTTGCTGATATCCCAAGGACTTACTCTCCTCTTTTGAGATCCTTCTGAACATAACAGCAGGCTTTTTTTTTTTAGAAATTGTCACTTAATTCTAGAAACTTATTCTTCATGATTAAGCATTGATTTTGTTATTAAATAATGTATTAGATCACATATAACAGGGAAAAATGTGTGAACTCTGTGGTATTACATGAAGCTGTGGAAGACAATCTCAAAATGGATTAGCTAGTTGCTGCAGTAATTTACTTTTCATTCAAGACTGCACAAAAAAACAGAGTCTTTATCCACATTTCTAATGTAAAACTTGCACTAAATGGTCACAATAAACCCATGGTATACATTAGCAAACAAAGCATGCAATCTCAATTATGAAATCATCACTTGTGTTAGTGCTGAAGAAACAGAATAGCCTGCTCAACACCTGAACAGTCTCAGCTTTTTAAAATTTTCCTCCATTACAGATATTTATGTAACCTTCAGTAGCATCCCTGATGAGCATAAAAGATGACAGTATTTTTCTAGCAAAACCTAAGTTCAACAGGTTACACTGACCTCCCAGAAGGAGGATGTGTTCTACAACAGTACAGTTGATTTGAACTCAACAGCTGCTTCACCCCTGTCTCCTTTCTCTGGGTGACCCAGTTACCCCATTACAGCTGAACTGCTGACATACTTGGCTGAGGTCATTCTCAAGTCCAGGGACATTCATCCATGATTACAGCCAACAGGGATGCAAGGTAATTGTAGTGCCAGCTAACCTTGGAACCCCTAAGTCATTGAAGAATACTTAAAAGGCAGAAGGAAAGAATAACCTTTGTGGAAGTTTGACTTCTTACCTCCCTTAGTATCAGTTGCTCTGGCACATCACAAAACAGCCAAAAATATTTTTCCTGCTTAGTTGAGTTGCAAAGTCATGATGAAATGGAGTCAGAAATACAACATTGAAATGGAACACTCAGCTTACTCAAAATAAAAATAATTTTCACCAAAGGCATAAGTATTTCTCATGCTGGAAATCACCATTATCATTAAGGCAGGTACCATTATCATTAAAGCAAGCAAATTGGAGACCAGACAGTACAGGCAGACAACTGTTTTCTGCAGACCAAGAAAAACACCCCGCATTTGAATTATAGACTACACAACATGCCTAGTACAGACAATCCAAGTTTCCCTAAATATTTCACAAGACCTCCTTTTGCAGTTGTCTCCACAAAGCTGTAAGAAGGGAAGAGGGCCTTGAGGTTTGCATGTTCACATAAGGTAAGTAAGATTATCTAGACCAGAATGCACATTAGCATCTTGTCATCACTAATTGCTTAAAGCTCTTTCACACACATCAAGTCAAGAGGGAAAACTATTGGCCCTGTTACCTGTCCTGAGCTTGCTCAGATTTGTTAGCAGTTGCCAGGAAACACAGAGAACTCAAAGTTACAGTAAAAAGTTTACTGAGGTCACGTGGATTTAATTAGGTGCCCCATAACCAAGTTTGCACTATGTAGAATAAACATCTCCACTGGATATTTACATACCCTTAGATTAAAAGTGGTAGTAAAAACCAGGGACAGGATGCTACATATTTTAGCAGTAAATTGTCTTTTTAATATAGAAAAGCAAGGCTCTTTCAAGATAATGTAACAATGTACCATTTAGTCAAAACCAGCCTCTTCATCATTCCATCCACTTTTCTCACACGCTGCACAAGCATTGCCACCACTGTGGTAAAGCAGTGCTTCCACAAACTCACTGAATTCTGAAAGGAGCTTTTTGAGTACTCTTCCAAGGGGCCAATCTTTTGTTAATTATGCACTAATTTAGCTTTTCATTACTATGTGATGCATCATTCCATAAGCCTCCCTGAACAATAAAGAAAAAGAAATGGTCTGTAAACCCACTTGTTACCAGAAATAGCAAGATGGTTTTATCCACAGCAAGTCTGGGACATGCTCTATCTATAAACCAAACTTAAGAATGCTTTAGCTCTGCTGAATTTACTGATTAATAATCCTCAAAATAAAAAAAAAATAAAAAGGAAATGAAGATGCCTTTCCCACAAAACTTGAGATACTTCTGATGAAAGGAAAAAACTCAACCCCATGGCTAAGCAAGAAAGCCTCAAGAGCTCCTGGATACTCTTGTTATTTAACTGACTGCCAGCTGCTGGCTACTTGGATGCCTCTGGGAAGCAGAGTTACCTTCTTCACTGTAGATCTCCACACTCAGCAAAAATAGTGCTTCTTCCAGGACTCCCTACTGCATTTTGTGCACACACACACACAGATTCCAGCCAAACACATGCAGCTCCCACTTCCAACAGCTCGGCACTCTGGTATAAGAGACATTCTGGACTACACATAAAGGGACAGCACAGAACATTTGAACTGAGCTTCACAATTTGTTTGAGTTTCTCCTCTAACACAAACATCCTAATCTTATAACAGAAAATGCTTTTATAATACACCATCATCAATCTTTGCTTAAGCAGTAACAGAAAAAGTACCCTATCATACTTCAAAATCTTTGACAGAATAAAGACAACCATGTAAAGTAACTGATGGATGGATTCAAGAGTCTGCATTTGAACAAAGTTATTAACTGATCATTTAAAACTTCTGCAGCTAAGGATTATGTTTGAGAAACAAGAAGAATTTTAGAAAGGAACTGCTAATAATGTTTTCCTTTTTCCTGACAGCAAAAGTGTCCCTTCTCAGAGAAAAGCTGTGTCAGAATTTTAGAGTGAACCAAGATTTACTAGATCTGCCACTGAAAATCTCTTCCAAGACTCTTTAGAAAATGAGTTTTTTTTTTTTTCTTGTACTATTTTTATTCCAATCAGAGTTCATCTTGCTGTGACCTGCAGCATTCCTAAGGTAGTAGGATTGTTCCAAAACAAGCTGCACCATTAAGAGTTGGCACTCCAGAAGACTGAGGAAGCCACAGCAGACACTGTATGTGAATATCAAAAGAAGAAGGCAGCACTGACCAGGAATCTGAAGAGGTAAACAGTGGAAGTAGAAATAGATGGCATCACAATTGCTCAGCCTCTTGAATAGAGGAAAACAAGAATGCATTTATATATGAAATGCAAGGAAAAAATCCCCCTATAACAGAGACAGGATGAGATCTGACTGATCAGGAAAAATCAGTTTAGTTTGGGTTACACTATCTCAGTTCATCAATGACTTATAATAGTTATCAAGGTCTGTAAGAAAGGAAGTGAAAGAGCAGAAACAATACCTGCTTTCCTCAATATGTCAAGCTATGATCCAGATTTTCAAGACTGAAAACTGAAGTGACAACATCTGGCAAGAGCCTGTATTTGTGGCATGAAGGACAGCTCGAAGAACCTCACAAGCTCAAAGCAGGTAGAGTTTGAGGACAGTGATGTTAAAACTAAACAAGGAAACTGATGGGGGGAAAATGAGGAAAGAGGAATAAAATAGCCAGAAGTAGGACTGAAAAACAAAACATCTGCCAAACACATAAAAATGTGCCTTCAGCACCAAGTTCACTTCAGTGAGGAAGGGTACAACAGAGTCTCTAGGATTCAGAGAAAAGAGCCCATAGACAAAACTAGATGGATTCTGCAAAGAATAGAAAAGAGACATGGGAAACCTGGGGAAGAAAAAGCTACTACAAAAAAGGGGAAAACTGAGGAAAAGAGTAGCTAAGATGCATTCATACAAATAGAAATCACAGAATCCATCAATCTGTTCAAGAATATAAATGGTACCTGAGATTACTTATACAAGAGCTGATTTTCACAAAGTAAAAAGAAAACTTGGGGCTACTGATTTGGTTTTCAGAATGCTTTAGCACATGAGCTGAATGAAGGACAGTTAGAACAAGTGGTGCAAAGACATGAAGTAACTTCAACTGTGCTTCAGCAGAGTGCAGAGGAGGAGCTGAGAATTAGGACAAAGCCAGTGGTATAAAGGGTGGGGGGGATGAGTATTAAGAAAAAAAAAAGAAAAGAAAAAATGCAGAACAATGGAGAAATTAAAACTTAGCTGGTTTTTTTCAGCTCAGAAATATAATTGACGTCCTTCCTTAGACTGCTATACATGCATTGCTACACTAGTTCTACTTAAAAACAGTATCACCAGCGTAATTTCTACAGATGTAATGCTTCTGCCAGTTGTTAACACAAAGGCTAAGAAAAAATTCTTCTCCACCTGCACATGAGAGTTAAGTGCTGAAGAAGCTCAAATGGGGGCATTCTGTTTTCCAGAAGAATTAGCGTCATGTAACGACCAGAGAGAGATTTCTAAGCATAACTGCAACAAAATAATCTTGCCTTGAGCCCAGGAAGGTTAAGATTCTACTGTGCTAATTTGTAAAAACAAATCAAGAAACCCTATAACTAAAAGGCATATAATCTAAGAAGATAAATTAAAGAGAAGGCATAGGAACTGAGCTTCCTTCTCCCAAACTCACACAACAGGTTACAGCAAAAATAAGACCTATGGCAACAGAATGGCATTCAAGTGATCCATCCACTAAAGCACACTACCTAGTAGACTGAAAATCCTAGTAATACTATGTCTTGACTAGGATTAATTTTTCTACACAGCATTGTTGTAGTTTAACCTCTACTGGAAGCCAAGGACACACCAGCTCATTGCTCTCAGGTAGAACAGGGCAGAGAAACAGCAAGTTGAAAGGTAGAAAATTAATGAGTTGAGATAAAGACAGTTTCATAGGGAAAGCAAAAGCCATGCAAGCAAGCAAAGGAAAACAAGGAATTCATTAACTGCTTTCCACATGCAAGTGTGCCCAGCCTTCTCCAAGACAGCAGGGCACCATCATGATTAACACTGACCTGGGAAGACAAATCACTTTGAACATCCCCTCCACTTCCCTCTCCTTCTTGCCCCTGTTTTATATGCTGAGCCTGACATCGTATGTGGGGGATAGCCACTGGGTCAGCTGGGGGTCTCCTCCCAGTTCCATTTGCACTCCCAGCCTCTTCACTGGTAGAGTGGGGTGAGCAGGCAGAAAGGCCTTGCCTCTGAGTAAGCACTGCTCAGCAGTAACTGAAACATCCCCATATTGCTAGCATTATTTCCAGCATAAATCCAAAACACAGCCCACATTAGCTACAAAAGAAAATTAACTCTATCCCAGCAAAACCAGCACAAGCAAGCAAGCAGCTCAGTGTCTAACACCTTCACAAGACATACTTTCAACAAAACATCTTTTTAGTTTTTGGATTATACCAGTTCTGTGAGGTAGCATATACAAGCACAAATTTATCACTCAAGAAGTAAAGAGTAAGAGCATACAGTGGGGAAAAAAACAGAAAGCTAGATGTGTACCTACTGGTCTTTCACAACCCTAAAACTACTGTCAAAATTATTATTCACAATAACCTGGCGGGGTAACTGACTGACATAAAACATCAGGAGGATTTAGTTCCTATTAATTCCAGCAACAGTTGCCATAGTTCTGCCTCAAAACAAAATCTCTGCCTAAGTACAAGGGAGTAGTGAAATATGAATGCTACAGTAAAAGTGGCTATTATACATGCCCTACACATTGCTTGTTCAAAATCTCCCTTATCCATGAAGGGAGATTCAGGCTCAATACATATAAAAAGGCCTATGAGAATATATCATATGAGAAATTAAAATTGTTCAGCTCATGTAGCCTAGAAAAAACCAAGTTGACAGGACATATTATGATTACTATCTCTAGATATGCATCAGTACAATAAATGCAAAGAAGAGAGAAGAGCTATTTAGACTCAAGGAGAGTACTGTCACACAAAAAAGTGGGTATAAACTTGCTCACAAAGTTTAGGTTGGAAATTAGATGACTGTAATAGCAGTGAGCTGCAGTGAACTGCACAAAAGCTGTCAGTCTACATGCATCTGTGGATTGCTCTTGAGAAAAAGTGATAAGAAAAGGAAATCTCCAAAGGTAAGTTTATCCCCTAACACAAAACTGTGTGAGGAGAAGGGGAAAATTGAAAGGATGCCAATGGGAGAAAACCTGTTATGCTAGAACCAAAACGTCTTGGGAATACAAAATATGAGCAAACAATCCAAATAAAGAAAACAGTTCTTGCAAATTGCCCGGCTCACCCTGTTGAACACAGGTAACATCATGTAAAGCTTTTCTTCCTGCTCTTTCTGGGTCATGTGCCGTGGAGGATGACAAAGCTCTGTGAAGAGGCGCCTCAGATGCATCAGGCCCAGCGCGTTGTCCTGGGGGCTGCAGTCTTCCTGCCGGGGCCGGCCCATGATCCTCTTCACCATATTCATCTTGGCTGACTTTTGGAAGCTCCCTTGTATCCTGTTCAGAAAGGAAAAGGAACTTGCTGAGTACAAGAAACTGAGGCATTACTCCACCAAAGCCTTCAAATACATAGCACCCTCTCTCACAATAAGTACCACACTGGAGTTAAGAGCATTAGCTAATTTTACATGCCAGGCATTGATTAGGAGAATTTAAAGCCAAGAACTTGAAAGAGCAAACATCTGATATTCTCCAGCAGAAAGCATGGCTGGCCAGGCTTTGAACATTGCCAAATGCTTTGGTACTTTTTATTGGATGAGTTTTATGATCCTTTGGTGCACATCCCACAGCATTTACAACAGTGTTACCTACATAATGCAAAATATTCTCAAATTAATTCTAGAATAAAAACAGTACTTTAAAATCTAATCACACAAGACATTCCAACTCTCTCAGACATCGGCTTTATCATAAAGAGACAAGCATAGATTTTTTCCCAACTTTCCTGTGGGAAGGAGACAAAGCTATCCACTGGAGCTATTGTTCATCTCAGCCCTCAGTTACTGGCTCTGCAGAATAACACCTCAGTCTTCAAAACATGGACCAAGTCTTCCAGCTGTGCAATTGAAGTGTATCAGGCAGGACCTTGCATGAGATGTGCGAGGGTCAGAACAGATAAATCCCTAAACAGATGTAATCAATCAGACACTGCAGCAAAATGGACTAACCTCACAACCATGTTCACATTAGGGAAGGAGCAAAGGGAATACATGGAAAACAGTTTCTGCTCCATATATAAAGTAAAAACCACCAAAAATGGTGGTTCACTCCATACTCCACAGAATTGCATTGCCTACATCTCACTGCTTAAATGCAGCTGAAAAACCAAAGGTCAGTAACAGCTGTAAAAATTATTCAAGAGTAGAAAATGCCTTGCAGCAAGAAACTTAAAGAACTTGTTATTTAAATTATCAAAAAGAGAGGTTACCACAAAGGGTCAATTAATAAAAAGAAAAGTGAAGATTTCAAAGGTGCTATAATTAGAGTAATGAAAGGAAAGTAGACATTACTGAAGAACTCCAACCCAAAGATTAAGTTGTGATGAAAGACTGTAGCTGGATGCTAAAGCCAGGAAAATAACACCAATAACAAACTGGAGCTATGATTGTAAAAGTGAAGGCAATTAACTACCAATAAGAAGCATTAATAAAATAAAAATATTCTCTCTATAACCCAATAAAGAGATACCTTTCTGGAACATGTTCATAAAATGTTTCCATAAAGTATTTTACTAACATATAGTAAAACATTAGGAACTAAAGCTAATGAATATTTTAGTACCATGTAAAAAATAATTCATTAAATGAGAAGTCATCAAAAAAGCTAAGCTGAGTTAGAAGCCAGCAACTCCAAGTCCATGCTGGAAATGTGCACTGGCTTTTCACAATTGAGGAAAAATTAGATAGAACTGAGTGTTGTCTTTTAGTATATAATTCCTAAAAAATAACATGGGTAAGACTTCGAATCAGCATTAATCACACAGCTACAAATAAAACACAGCTTCCTCCAGAAACCCATAGCTTTTCCAAAACTCTTCAGTTTAAGGATACTTCTCTTGCTGTAGCAGGTAGACTAATAGAACACTACATCTGACCTCAAAGACCCAAACCTTCACTGATGAAGCAGCAGGAAAAAAGTCTGCATCTTCTTTTCAACAAAATCTTTTAAAGACAGTATTTTAAATTTCTTTTTATGATTCACAAAAGATTGAGAACTTATATACCCACCCAAAATTCATACTGTCATCAGATCCAGGACTGCTGTGGACTTCTGCTTGTGTGGCAAATTTTTCTTTTAAATTCTATTGCTTTATTCAACCTAAGCACACACCTAATACAGAAATTTACACTGTGGTTCAACCACACACTTCTAATTATAGATCAGATAAGTTTTGTACAGTCAGAGAAGTCTAAAATAAATGTTACACACTATTTTCCTAGTGTAAAATAGCCTACTGGAATGGCGTTTTGCAGCTGTGATCTATTTACCTCCACCAGGGGAGTTAAACCCAAGGGATGACAAATGCAGAGAACAATTACAATAGTCCTCACTTCCTCAACACAGTCATGGTCCCTCCTGTCTATTCCCCACTACAAGCAGGTATTCAACATAAATGAGGGGAGGGGAGGAGAGGATGTAATACCAATTAATACCAATTAACTACTTTTTTTTTTTTCCTCTCCAGAAGTAACCAAATTCCAAAGTAGATACTACTTCCAGAATTATTCCAGAGTTGCCTCCTACTGTGTTTCTCTCTTACTAGAAAAAATGCTAGCGTGGGCTCCAGGCAATGTCATCTGAAATATATTGTACATAAAAGCTGAAAGAATTTCTGTGATTTATTTTTGCCTGCCCAAATCCAGTGATGTTTTCTCTGATTATCACAGCATAGATTATCTAAGGAAAGAGAGCTGTTGGCTCTGGGACCTCCAGCATTAGGACCAAATCTTAGATATGTGAAAGTGAACAATGAAAGAACAGTGCTATATTGCTACTTTGTCTTGTACAAATATTTTGACTGATCTTTTCCTTGTTTAGAATTGGGCCTGCAGAAGAGTAAGCAGTACACCTAAACCTTTCACTATAAACAAAAAGTATCTAGAAAAAAGGGAGTTCCTATTCTAAATGAAAGCATCTGAATAATCCTCAGTCAGCTGCAACCACCACATGTGACTTGAATTCAGCATTAAGACCTGGCAGACCCTTAATGTCAAAAATTAAAAGATTCCAGTATTTTCAGTAACAGCCACTTCACCTGCTCACAACTGCTTGTTTACAGCATATGACAATCAAGCACCCTGCACAGTAATTAAGACAAGCAAACTCAAAAGTTAGGGAATGCTGGTCTTGTAAATGATGGTAGATCTTGAATTTGGGCTGGCTCTGCACATGCAGTAGTCTTAAATTGCATACTCACTTCCTATAGTCCCCAAACAGCCTCCCGCCTCTCTCAGCAGATGCTTCATGAGCAGCTGGTTGGTATTTTGTTACTTTGCCCCTCTGAGTATGCTGGTACACCTTGGTTCCTACAACCTGGACTGAAAGGCTGCTCTGCACACCCAGTAGTGCATTTCCTCAGGGATCAGAATGCATCACAACTAATAAACCAATTTCCTTTAACAGATATGCCCCACAGCACAGGCACTGACACAGCCTCAATACCCACAAAATGAACACACATCCTCCCTTATGCTAAAATTGATGATGTTTAGTAATATGGTATCTATTTGAACATGCTTTGGTGAGCAGCTAATCCTTCAATCTTGCAATCTTGAATCTTTCTGCTTTCTTGCGTTGTGTCCCTTAGAGACCAGCTGATGTCCTTCCCCTCTCAGCTTGTGATCTCAGAGCTAAACACCCAGTGCACCCAGATGCAATTAGATGGCAGCTCCAAAAAACTCAGGAAGAGTTTTGTGGAAGTGGCAAGGACAGAAACCTGTTCTCAGCACAGGAGTCTCTTCCCTGCCTCGCATTCCCTCTTCTGCCACACACATCCCACAGCTGCCCCACATTCTTTACTACACAGCCCTGATGAGTTTCTCCCCCTAGCAGGTCTGAGCAGGCACACTCTTCGTAGGGAACCTGTGAGTTGGACATTCCATCGTTTTAAACTCAGAAAGAAGTTAGAAGTTATTCTGAAAGAGCAAACTAGGCAAATGGAAGTTCTGTGATACAGCCCCACTGCGACAGGCACGTAGTTTATCAGGAGGGCTGAAGCATTTCAGCCTATTGCACCCAACTTCTGCTACTAGAGCTAAAAATATGAGTTAATGGCAGTTGCAGAGCATCATGTTCTGTATGGACCAAGACTAAAATAAGACACTTGATGAGTAGATTACAAACATGCACAATAAAACCACTGCTCTTATAATAAACATTACAGTTTTCTCTTAGCAGTAGAAGCAGAAGAATCTCCATGTGAGGAGAAATGAATCAAGCAGTGAAAGCACAGCAAAAGCATCCTCACTTTAAAAACTGCCCTTTATTTTTTTCCACAGGCTGTCATATGTCTGCATATTTCCCCATTAACATAAGCAAGGCTGACTCATTTGAACAGCTCTGATATAAAGACATTCACCAAGGTCCTTCACTTTTCTGTTAAATTTACATGGGAATCCCACAAGATGAACCCTTGAGATTCTCCAGAAGTTTCACACTAGTTAGTGTAAGAGCTTATTTATACCCTTCAAAATATTTTAAAGTGTTTTCTACTGTTAGTGGAAGCTGTTGGAAAAATGATCTTAAATTACATTACAGAAAATACCAACAACTTACAAAGCTCATACACAGACACTACAAGAAAAACACAACACACACACACACACACACACACATTATCACTAACATGACTTAGGGTATGATAATCTATGGGTAATACTACTACAGCTACCAAAATATTTGTGAAGAAAAAAAAGTAGACAGGATCTGCATGAGACACACTCATCTTCACAACAGCTATTGTAAGAACAAGCTCTGCATCTAGTTCCAAAAGGATGTTATTTAAATAAGCAGCTAGGTAATTAACTGCTTAGTAATTACAGCCACAAGTGCCTGTTTCTCCAGGCACTACATTGTTATTACATTAGCAGCTTAGCAGTGAAACAGGAATCGGCTTCTTTCTTTGCAGATTATAATGGGACACTAGTATACACCTCCACCCCAACTATCTCAGGTAAATGAAATTGAAGTCTTCTTGCTATACTCAATCACAGAAATCCATCAGGATCAGTAAATTCCATACCTGCTAATTCCCTCCCCACTAGGTCTGTTGCTTCTTTCCTGAATTTCAGGTTCCCTACCCATGTAGTGGGTACTAACATTCTGAAGATGATCATCAATATGCACTATTCAAAAGGTCATTGTCTGGCCTTCAAAGGAAACAATAAAGAGCTGTTACTGGCTAGATACGCATCCATTTTGCTTAGAACTGAGCAGGAATTAAAAATTCTCTTTGCAGACAAAACCATCAGTAGGGGGGGAAGTGAGGAATGCAACTA